GCCCAGAGTCAGATTTTAGCTGCACAATGTTCAGGTTCAAATTCTGGCTCTGCCATTTGGCATTGGGATGACCTTGGACAATTTATGTGATTGACTTCCCTAAATCTGTTTCCTTGCTTGAAAAATGCAGACAATAATATTGTCCACCCATAGAATTGTGATCAGGATGAAATGTGACCATTTTAATAAGGTGTTTACAATAATAGCTGTCCATAGTAAGAACCCAAGAGGCATCAGCTATTGTTATACTTGTATTATATTAGTATTGCTCATTGGAAGTAGAGCTAGTAGAGGGATTTGGTTTGGACCTATGGGGGTGGAGGTAAAAAGATTTGGGGGAGGTGCAGACTTGACGGGAAGATGTTGCATTCAGCTCAGGTGGGCTGCACTTCAGTGACCCCAGAAACTGGGGGTAGATGTCCAGAGGGCTGTAGGAGATATGGGCCTGGGCTTCAGGAGCACATCCCAGGCTGGTGACAGGTTTGGGAGTTCTTGGCAGGCAGATGGTGATTGCACCATGGGATCTCATGTGAGGGAGAGAGAATAGTGCCTAAGGGGAGCCTGAGAGATGCAATGTGAGTTTGGTTTTCCCCAAAGTGGACTCTGAGTCAAGTACTCCAGGATAAGTAGTTTATCTGGGAGATGACTTTGGGCAACATAGGAGGGGAGTGGGAAAGTGAGAAGGGAACTGCTCCCTAGAAGTAGAGCTGAGATGGGATCTGGATGCATGAGCTTTATTGCATGGGAGAGAGGTCTCAGGGGTGAGGGAGGCCAGAGAGAAGGGGAAGAACTGGGCCAGGATATGCACTTAGGTTCAGTTAAGCCTTGGCCTCATCCACGAGTGGAGAAGGATTTGGAGCAGAAATGACCCTATAGAGTTGTCTCACTGAAGGCAAGGGGCAGCCTTGTATCATGCATGTGAGGGTGTGGCTGTGGAGGTGTGGCCTGGGTTAGGGGCTTTTGTCACAGAGGGCAATTCTCCCAGTTAGCAGCCTACATTCACAGCAGTGGGGGAAGATGCCAGAGCCCTGGAAAGGAGATCTGGGTGGGGCAAGACAGCATTTAGGATGAAAGCAATATGGTATGTGATAATTAGCAAGTAACTGGGGACCTGGGAAACAGAGTAGAATGCACATCTGAGTAATTCCATCCCAGGTGTGGGTGGGGTATTTATACTCCAACTCCTGCCTGTCTTTGGTCCAGGGCTTCTCAGGAAGTGTTAATCCTTGGCACCTCTGGCTAGTGGGCTAAGTGGACTCTAGACACCAGAGAAAGCCCGCAGAGGAAGATGCACAGGGGTAGGTACTGGAGGCCACGTGGGCATGCAGGAGCAATGGCTAGGGCAGGAGACGTCGACAGGGAAAAACAGCGTCTGCTACAACAATCTTTAAAGGGGACACAAAAGCAACTGAGAAGGAGCAGACTGAGAGGCAGGAGGAAAATCAGAAGAGGAACAGGCCGGGGGACCGGTTTGTGCAGGCACTCACACGGCTGATACATTTTATGCACGCGTGTGTATCCCACTCCTGTCTGTGCTATGTACTGACAGCCTGGCCAGGGGCGGCTCCAAAAAGCCCAGCATTGGTCTTTGTTGAGCCACTCACACCCGGTCCAGTCTCAGTCTGGCGCAGCGAATAGCTGGGACGCTGGGGGGCTGGGGAAGTGGAACTCACATTCGTGTTTGGCCATAGCTTGGGGCTGGAAACCTTCCTTGGAAAAGAATGAGTGGGGAAACCTTTACGATTTATTAAATCCCGGATAATTCTGGCTGGTGAGAGCAGATACGGACTCTTCACGGATTTAGGGTTCCAAAAAGACTGGGGGCGGGGGTGACCCAGGGCGGGGACGCTCTAGAGGGCTCTGGCAATGGCTGCAGGTTTGTATGTGGAGGGAGGGGCTGAAAGCCGCCTACCCTCCATCCCGCCAGGGCGCCGAGGAGTTCCCCAAACGTTGGCACCCACCGCGTATACAGGCACCCACCAGGGCGCTCTGGGAAAGCGCAGAGGGTGGATGGATTCTGGGTCTTTTTGCTTTCACCAAGTCTCCTAAACGACTAGCAGCGCTTCCCTGACCTTGGCAGACTCTGAGCAAAGCGCTTATCCCGGCTGGCGCCGCTGCTTCCTCATCCTCAGGAGCCGGGCCTCTGAGCGGATCCCGCAGACTCGCGAGCGGACCCTTGATCCCGGATAGCTACTGAGGGTGCGAGTGGGGGCACGTATTAGTGGGGTGGGGCGGAGAAACTGCCCACCCGCGCAGCGCTCTGGCGGTCGCCACGCTGCGAAAAGTAGGCGCGTCAGAATTTAGCTCTCTTCCCCCAACCCTGGTCCAGCGGGCCCCTCCTACGGGTGGGGCCGGAGGGAGACAGGGACGCTTCTACCTAGAATTGCAGAGTCCCTATAAGGCTCGAACCAGGCTCCTTCTCTCGGGTTTTCCTCTATTTCGCTTTCCTGATTTCTCTCTCCGTGTCCGGTGTGAGCAGATTAATAAGCCTCAGTTACTCTCATCTACAAAATGGGTTTTGTAAGATCCTTCCGAAGTGTTTTTGGCACTGTGCGGCGGTTACCGTGTGGGGTAGCCGAAGCTGGGCTCCTCCCACCGGGCCTTTTAGTACCTCTGGGTCCCTGGCTATCTATTGTACTTGTAGGTCTATCCTCTCGGTGATCTCCTGCCTCCTCTGACAGAGGCTAAGGCGGGTATACTCAAAGACACTGACAGGCCCAGGCGAGGAGGCGCTGTCAGTATTCCAGGCTGCAGGGACTGCGCGATCGTCTGCGCTAGCCCGGGGAGCCACCTGTAGACCCTCCCCTTGAGCGTGACTTGAGTTGGGACACCTGAGGGGCGGTTGTCCTGCCTGCCTGCCCCGGCTTCGTTCTGCAAATGTGCGGATCCTTAGGTGTCTTCCTTCACGGTATGGTTCCACATTCTGATCTACAAAAGACTACTCTGCCGGGCGAAGAGCCAGAGCACCTTGAGTGGGCCCTGTACCCCCAACACCTTTCCCTAAACCCAGAGATAAATGTGGGGGAAAATTCCTGGCGAAGCCGAAAACTACGCCTAAGTCTAAAGCCGCCCCCGGCCCGGAGCAATTCAAAGGACAATTATCCTAAAGGAAAGTTATTGTTTTGCTAATCCTGGGAACAGCTTGTTGGGAGAGATTTGGGTCTTCCTTTAATATTGAAGAGTTAATGCGCAACATTTTGGAATTATCTTTATTGGAAACCCAGAGTTTAATTTGTATGCTCAGCAGAAGCCCCACTTGAAGGAGCGGCAAGCTGGAGACACACTGCTGGGCTCCCGCTCCCGCGAACGCTTAGCGAGCAGCGCCTCATACCCGCTGGGCTCGAAGAGTTGCCACCTCCCTCTCTAGGTGACCTCGGACTGTTGGGCCTTCAGGGGGTGGGACTGAAGAAATATTGCTTCCCGAGTTCTATGTTTGAGAAGGGTAGGCTCAGGTCTCCCAGTGATTCGGGTTGGGTGGGCTCAAATTTCGCTAGTGAGACCCAGGAGTGGCTTACCCACGTGCTGTGTTTGGCGCCAACTTTAACACATATGGTCGTTTCGCAAGAAAACCAGGCTTTCTTTGAATAATCATAAACTGACAATAAAATTTGTTAGCCTCAGCGAAGAGGGCTTAGTCCCAGTAGACAGGCCTATTTTCCAATTTACTCCCCACCACCCCATTTAGGGTTGCCAGATAAAATACTGGCACATACTCATACTAAAAAATCATTCATTGTTTATCTAAAATTCAAATTTCACTGAATCTCCTGTAACTTAATTTCCTAAATCTGGCCTCGTTTTCGTCTTTGCAGCAGTGTCACTCCACTTCTTTCTGCCTGTCTCTATTTCTTGCCCTTACCCCAGTTCCTATGAGTTTTTTGACCCCCTAGCGCACTGGCGGGTAGATTTAGTTGGAGGTGGAGTGAGCATAGATTAAATAAACATTTCCCACTCCTTTCTCCTTAGGGATTTTCAGGAAAGGCCTCCTTGGCTACAGGTGGAGTTGGAAGGCTGGAGGGGGACATATCAGTGGCAGTAGTGGGGGTGTGGCTGAGAATGAAGCTCTAAGTCTTAGTATGAGGCAGGATGGTGGAGCGAAGCTTCGGGGCAGCGGCGAGCGGGACCTCCACCCAGAGAATCTGGAAAGGAAGGGAAGACCACGCCAGGGACTGAAACCTGAGGCATTCAGAGGGACAGGCAGATGGCGGAGTCGTTGTCCCCTCCCTACTTTTCTCCCACCGAGAACAGGGGAGGGGATGGGCAGGAGGACAGCTGGAGAGGACAGGGGGAAAAGGAGGTTGTTGTGTCTGCTCGCTCGGAGGCCGTCAGGTAGAAATATAAAAGGAAGATTTATTAAAGTAAGAGAAGGGTTAGCTGGGCAGAGTCTGCCGGAAACTACTGCAAACTACTGCTCTGAGTCTTTGTTTGGTCTCAGTTTTATATTTTCTAACCAGAATGTAAATTGCTTTGGCCAGTAATTGGGGGTGGGGGAAGGTGCGGTTAAGCCAGTTAATCGCAACTTTTGTATATGTTATGTAGATTTAAGTTGGAGCTAGGAGTGGATCCCATACAGTTACAAAACCTCTCGCAAGTCACAGGGCCTGCACTGGGCCGAAGTAAATAGAAACATTGAAACTGGTATGCATAGTAAATGTATAGGAAGCAAAGAAAGCTTTCAAAAAGTCCCAAGCTAAATTACGCTTGTTAAATCAAATTATACCAGAGATCAAAATAGAAGATTTAGTGCCACCATTACAATGCCGTCTTAACAGAGGTGATTGAGGGGACTTCAGCTGTGAGGGCGGCTCCCGAAGGGAGGGGAACTGGTGGCGTACCCATCTCACAGGGTCCGGTGCGATGACGCGTCAGCGCCCGGCTGATTGGAGCCCTCCAGGCCTTCCGCGCCTGACCCGGGGCCCTCTGTTGTAAAGCGTCCTCTGAGCTGAGCCCCTTCTGCAAACGTGACCGACAGAGGGTCAAGCCTCGCCGACTGAGAAACCATGACCGGCCGAGATGCGCTTTCCGACGGGCGCGCTAGGATCGGGGCTCTGATGCCCAGCGACTCTCCCACCCGCCCGCGCCCCCGGGGCTTTGCCATCACCGACCTGCTGGGCCTGGAAGCTGAGCAGCCGTCGCCTGCTGGACCCGGGCAGGGGTCGGACAGCGAGGGCTTCGCCGCCGCGCCCTGCCGAGGTCCAGGGCTTGGCGGCCTCTGCCTAGCGCGCGGGGCCCTTCCACTGGGTCTCGGCCTCCTCTGCGGCTTCGGTGCACAGCCTCCTGCGGCCGCTCGGTCGCCCTATCTACTTCTAGCCGACGTGCCCTTCCTGCCGTCCCGGGGGCCTGTGCTCACCGCTCCTCCAGCCCTCCGTCACCCGCTGACCCAGCTTGGCCGCCCGAAACGCAGCGAGACCATCTCCAAGTCCGGTAAACAGGCCTGCCCATCCCGCTCCTGCCCCTGTTCCCTCCGGTTTGGGCGGTGCAAGAGTAACACAGCGTGGACCCACTGCGCCCCCACCCCCAGCATCCCAGGTCTAAGGGAAGTCGAGACCCCAGGGCCTGGCCCGGTCCGCGGGAGCTGTATCTTTACACCCGCGCCCCGTGACTCTTGCCTCGCCCCAAATCCCCGCCTCTCCGCGGGGTTCTGGTCGCAGCAGCGGGTGGATCCGGTTCTGGACCCACTCTGGGGATCTCGTCAACCCAGCAGCGGTCTCCTGAGGACCTTTCCCCAGCGCCCCGCGCGATCTTGGCCTATGGGAACGGCAAAGGTCGGAAAGGCCTGGGCCGGTCTTGTTCACCAGCATCCCAGAACCTGGCACCCTGTGGGCGCTCAAACGTTTGCCGAATTGATTGAATGATTTACCGGTTCTTGAAGAGCGAAGGCTCAGAGCCCTGGGACTGGACGCCTCCCGGGCTGCAGAAAGAGAGTCCGAGTAGCACGTTTCTCTCCTGCCATTGCGGAGAAAGGAAGCAACCTCACCAATTTCATTGTAGTTATGCTTTGCGTTTTGTTCCAGCCCACCTATTTCCTCAAAGGCATAGAGGCAGGTCATGGGGAAAGAGAAGGAAGTATTAAAATTCTATAAAGGACAAGGGCCAAGAAATTGAGACGTTTCTGGTGCGTTTGAGGGAAACAGAGAATTACACAAGAAAATGTGGACTGAGAGAAACTATGTAGTAGAACCTAGAGCTGGGCATGCAGACAGCCCAGGTGAAAAAGAGTATATTGGGTCTCCACTGATAATAAAGGAAAGGCAGTAGGCAAGTGAGCTTTGGCTCAGCTCTAAACGGACTTTATTTTATGAGTCTTTTTGTAAAACAAAATGAGCCTTCTATTAATATTAGTTGTTTCACTAAAAATGCAGAAATCATCTACATAGGATGGGATCTTTCCTCTGTTAGCACCGATAAAAGGAAAAACAAATCTCAGTCTGTGAGGGCATTTCTGGAAGATCACGAGCAACGCTATTCAATAGAAATATGTGTCTGCGAGTCTAATGAAAATTTCTCAAAGCCACGTTAAAAAGGAAAAATAAAACAAGTGAAATTAATTTAAATACTGTATTTTATTTAATCAAATACATACAAAATATTTACATGTAATGAATATAAAAATTATTAATATTTTACTTTTGGTGGTACTGTCTTCCAAATCCACTGAATATTTTACATTTACAGCAGGTCTCAATTTGAACCAGTCGCATTTCATGTGTTCAATAATGTTATGTGTATAATGGTACCATACTGGACAGCATTATGATATTATAATCAAAGCAGTTTTCTGGTGAGCTAACTGATGTTGGAGTAAAACTAACATTATTTTATTAATTTTCCTTTAATTCATTTTCAATACTTTGAGGCAAAAATGCTTTTTAACAATGAATCTGACAGTAGTTTGATCTTCTAACCTTCCTTTCTATCTGGATCTTTTGATATAATGGATATCAAAAGGTAAAGCATAGTGGGGTTCTTAAGCTTTTTTCAAGTGCATCCAAGAATCACCTGGGCACATTTGTCAAGAATGAGTTTCTGGACCCCACCTCCAGAGACTCAGCACTGGTACAGCAGGGCAGGGAGTACAGTTCTGACAAGTGATCTGATGTCACAAACCTCAGCCCTTCGAGAAATGTTGTGTGCTGATGAAGACAAAGAGGTTGGAGGCTGAAGAAGTGGATGAATTTGGGAACTGAGTGGACATAGGAAATGCAATTAGTGGCCAAGTAGTTTTGGCTTCACACAGTCTGGGGTTTGAATCCCAACTTCCTCATTTACTACCTGTGTAATCTTGGACAAATTACTTAATCTCTCTGTGCCTCAGTTTCCTCATCTGTAAAAATCGGATACTAAAAGCAGCTATCTTGGAGTTCTTTTATTTTATAAAGAATAATTGCAATAATCCACAGACAATGCTGAGCACAGTGCCTGGATTATACCAAGTGTTAAAAATGCTGGCTTGTATGGCTAAATACTACTCACATTCTTCAACAGGTTCATAACGTCAACCCTCATACTAAAATCCAGAAAATAAAGTGAAAAATATGCACACCTTTAAAGTCCTCTCTTTCTCCTTGTGCCAGCAGATGAGTACAGCCGATCTGAAGACAGGAGTGACCTGAAGGTGTCCCCCACCCCTGGCAAGAGGAAGATGCGTCGGCACAGGTACAGGGCCAGGCCATCCTCCCTGACACTTTCCTCCTTGGAACTCAGCATCTGAAAGTGTGTGGTCCTGCATTAGGGCAGGCCCAGTGGCCTCCAGGTTGGCACTGGGAAAGGCACAGTAACCATTAAGGAACATAATTCTGCAATTCCCAGCAGGCTGCAGGATAATCTTTGCAGCATTTAAAAGACACAATTTTGTGGGTCTTTAAAATGGGTCTTCTTAGAATGAGTTGATGAAATTCATTGAGGAGGAAAAAAAATCCTGAGGAACTCTGTCTTATTTGAACCAAACTTCTGGACTTTCCAGAGGCTAATCATTCAGAGGTGTGGTATCCAGATATCATGAGGTGGCCCTTTGGGGTATGGACACCAGGGGAGGCAGGCACAGGGTCCCTAAGCTGGGAAGCCTAGCAACCTGCTGTGGACATATGCGCATGTGTTTTCTGGGCCTCCTTACAGGACTGTCTTCAACACCCAGCAGCTGGAAGAGCTGGAGAAGGTATTCAGCAAGGCCCACTACCCTGATGTGTATGCCCGGGAAATGCTGGCCATGAAAACTGAGCTCCCTGAAGACCGAATACAGGTATCTGGGGTTTCCTTTTCTTTCCCAAAGACACCACAGTGAATATGTTAATCTCACATACAGTAAACCCATAGTCACCTCTAAACAGCCCAACACATTCCCCTGTACAGGCAAACTGAGGGTCACTCAGCTGCAGGCACCACAGTGCTAGAGCCTTCCTTTATGTTTATTGCAAGAGGATATCCTTGGTAAACTTCATGCCTTTTTTTTCTTTTATTAAATCATTCTTTAAAGTCACAATATTGTGGGCTGCAACTAGAAACTATATAAAGATATATCAATGAAAGAAAGTGACCATCACTCTACTATAAACCCTCAAAGAAACCAATATAATTAGCCTGATGTGGACTTTCTGCACACTGTCTCCATGTCATATATATATCTGGCCCTGAACAACAACAACAAAAAATACACACACACACACACACACACACACACACACACACACTAAATACATATAGAATTTTATTTTGTCTTTATAAAAAGATATTGTGTTATATACTTCTTAGCCTCTTTGCTTGACAACACATCTTGGACATTTCTCCAGGTCAGAAGTTATGCCACTAACTCACCCTTTAAACAATATTCCATACTATTTCTTTATTAAGATAATGTTTTCCATGAAAAATATCACTAGCAACCCAACAAACTGAGATTAGAAGGGGCCATTAAACTCTTTTCACTCCATGAGAAAAATCAGGAAGCATTATAGTTGACTCTTTCACACAATGTGGGAAAGAATACTTTGATTTTATTTTTGTCATTCCAACTCCATGGAAAACCTCAGTGGAAATTGGTCACACCCACAGTGATGAGTCTCTGTGAGTCTTGAGTGAATGTGGGTATAGTTCCTGGAAGGTCTGGGTCCTATGAACTTCCTGAATGGGTAGTTGGCCCATTTTAGAACTCCTTGCTCAGGAGACACCTCCAAGCATCCTTTCACTATGTCTCCTTCTGCCTCACACCAGGTCTGGTTTCAAAACCGAAGGGCTAAGTGGCGGAAGCAGGAGAAGCATTGGGGAGGCAGCAGCGTGATGGCCCAGTATGGGCTCTATGGGGCCATGGTGCGACATTGCATCCCACTGCCTGACTCTGTCCTCAAGTCCATCGAGGGGGGCCTGGACACTTCCTGGGGACCCTGGCTCCTTGGTAAGGAAGAGGGACCTGCAGTGAGCACAAGGGCAAAGGATGTTGGGGGTGGTGTCTTTACATAGGGCAGCCACTTGTAAAGCAAAGCAGTGTGAATTTACTCAGATTCAGACCCAGAATATCACAGCAGATTTTTAATTAATTAAAAGGTTTGATAATTTGCCTTATTTTTCATTGGAACTGTGTAGACAGTGTGTGGAAAGGTCACATCAGGCTTTGCTTTTAAAAGTACTTGAATTTCACATACTTGCATTATGTGAAATAGGTTTCCAAAATGTTGAGTGCTATTAGAATTTTTGGAAACTAAAATTTACAGCTGGTGATAACAGGAAACAGGACAGTGCAGAGTGAGCAGTGAGACCTGGAGATGATGAACCCCCTACATACTGAAGTCAGGAGGGCTGGCTTGTAGTACTAGTTCTACTAATAACAACCAACCACATAGATTTTCTTTCCCTGAGATTTTATTTATTTATTTATTTAAAAGATTTTTTTTGTTGTTGTTAAAAAATATAGCTAACATACAACATTATATCAGGTTCAGGTGTACAAATAGTTGTCCAACATCTATGTGCCTAAAGAAGTGGTCACCATAAGTCCAGCGACCATCAACACTGTACCAGGCTATCACAATATTATTGACTATATTCCCCATGCTGTACATTATAACCCCGTGACTTATTTGTTTTACATCTGGAAATTTGAACCTCATTCTCCTTCAACTTTCTCCCCATTTTTTATTTTTTCAATTACAGTTAACATTCAATATTATTTTATATTAATTTCAGATGTACAGCATAGTGGTTAGACATTTGTATAATTTAAGAAGTGATATCCCTGACTAATCTAGTACTCATCTGGCCCCATACATAGCTATTACCATATCATTGACTATATTCCCTATGCTTTACTTTACATCCCCATGACTATTTTGTAACTACAAATTTGTACTTCTTAATTTCTTCATCTATTTCACCCTGTTCTCCAATCCCTCTCCCATCTATCACCCTGATAAATCTAGTACCCATCTGACACTATGCACAGTTACTGCAATATTATTGACTATATTTCTTGCGCTATATCCTACATGACTACTTTGTAACCAATTTGTACTTCTTCATCCCTTCCCCTTTTTTCAACCACCCCCTCAACCCTCCTCCCATCTGGCAACCATCAAAATGTTCTTTGTATATATGAGTGTGTTTCTGTTTTGTTTATTTTGTTCTTTAGATTCCACATATAAGTAAAATTACATTGCATCTGTCATTCTCTGTCTGAGTACTCCACTCAGCATGATACCCTCTAGGTCCATCCATGCTGCCGTAGATGGCAAGAACCCATTCCCTTCTATGGCCAAACAATATTCCATTGTATATATGTACCACTTCCTCTATCCATTCATCTGTTGATGGAAACCCAGGCTGCCACCACATCTTGGCTATTGTAAATAATGCTGCAACGAACATATGGATGCACAGGCCCTCTTGAAGTACCATTTTGGGTTTCTTCGGATAAATACTCAGAAGTGGGATTACTGTGTCTTTCTTTTTTATTGTTTTAAGGTCTATTTTGTCTGGAGTATTGCTACTCCAGCTTTTTTTTTTTCATTTCCATTTTCATGAAATAACTTCTTCCATCCCTTTACTTTCAGTGTGTGTGTGTGTCTTTCAATTTGTAGTGAGTCTCTTGTAGACAGCATATGTAAGGTTTTTGTCTTCTTATCCATTCAGGCACCCTGTTTTTGACTGGAGCATTTAATCCACTTTGAAAGTAATTATTGATAGATATGTAGTTATTGCCATTTTATTATTCATATTTTTTAATCTTTTTTTTTAATCTTAAAGGAGTCCCTCTAACATTCCTTGTAATACTGGTTTGGTGGTGATGAACTCCTTTAGCTTTTTATTGTCTGGGAAGCTCTTTATCATCCTTTGATTTTAAATGATAGCCTCGCTGGGTAGAGTAGTCTTGGTTATAGATCCTTGCTTTTCATCATTTTGAATATTTTCTGCCAATTCCTTTTGGCTTGCAAAGTTTCTGTTGAGGAATCAGCTGACAGTCTTATGGGAGCTCCCTTATAAATTACTAGTTGCCTTTCTCTTGCTGCTTTTAGGATTTTCTCTTTGTCTTTAACCTTTGCAATTTTAACTAAAATGTGTCTTGGTGTGGGCCTGTTTGGGTTCATCTTGTTTGAGACTCTCTGCACTTCCTGGGCTTGTATGTCTATTTCTTTTGCCAGGTTAAGAAAGTTTTAGTCATTATTTCTTCAAATAGGTTCTTATTCTCCTGCTTTCTTTCTTCTTCTTCTGGTACTCTCATAATGCAAATGTTATTACACTTGTTCTCCCAGTAGTTTCTAAACTGTCCTTGTTTTTTAAAATTCTTTTTTCCTTTTGCTGTTATGATTGGGTGTTTTCTGCTACCTTGTCTTTCAAATTGCTGATTCAATCCTCTGCTACATCTAATCTGCTGGTGATTTTTTCTAGTGCATCCTTCATTTCAGTTATTGTATTCTTCACTTTTGACTGGTTCTTTTTTTAAAGATTTTTATTGGGGAATTGGGGGATGGGAACAGACAAGTTGCTGTCCTTTTGTTCTTCAGTCTAGTTGTGGAGGACGTTGCTTCACTGGCCCAAGTTGGCACCATCATTGCGCTCTTCCTGAGTGAGGCAGATCAGTCGCCGGCTTCTGCATGGCAGCTCACGGCGGCTGCTGGCCGCTCACGCTGGCTGCTGGCTACACACGGTAGTCCATGGCAGCCCACTGCAGCAGGGGCTGCAGCCTACGCCATCACCGGCAACTCACGGCAGCCCAGCTCCAGGTTGAGCTGTTGTTCAGCATCTTAGCTGTAGAGGGCAGTGTCACTGGTCCTCATATGTGGGATCCGAACCGGGGCCCTCTGGCATCCCAAGCCAGCTCTTAACCAATGCACCACTCGGCCGGCCCTTGACTGGTTCTTTTTTATTGTTTCTATATCTTTTTTTATGCTTGCTATCTCTTTGTTGAAGTTTTCACTAAGTTCCTTGAGCATCCTTATAATCAGTGTTTTGAACTATGTCTCCGGTATGTTGCTTGCCTCTATTTTTGTTTAGTTCTTTTTCTGAAAATTTCTCCTGTTCTTTCATTTTGGATGTATTTCTTTGTTTCCTCATTTTGACTGCCTCTCTGTGTTTGTTTCTATGTAATAGGTAGTTCTGCTGTGTTTCCCAGTCTTCCTGGATGGCCTTATGTAGTAGGTGCCCTGTGGGGCCCAGTGGCACAGTCTCCCTGGTCACCTGTGCTGAGTGCTCCAGGAGTTTCCCTTGTGTGAGTTTTGTGTGCCCTCCTGTTATAGTTGAGCCTTGATTGCCATTAGCACATCAGTGGGTGGGACTGACCCTCAGGCTGACTGGCTGTGGGGATTGGCCGCATCCACAGCTTATGGGCAGTTGTGTGGGTCACTTACCACATGAAGTGGGATTCCCACCAGCAGGCTCTGGTGCCTGTTGAGGCTGTGCTTTGGGTGTGCCTCTTGTGGGGCTAATATGATGGTGCTCTGTTGTGATCTGAAGCCAACTTCCAAGTAGGTTGGTTCTGGGGTCTCTTAGTAGGAGCTCTGGTACAGGCCCAGGTCAGCCACTGCCTGTGACCAGCTGGGGTGTACCTGATAGGAGGTACAAAGCAATCCATGGTTAATCGCTGCCTGTTCTATATGTGGAGGCACATGGGAGAGGCCACACTGGGAACCGAGGACAGCTGCCACCAGTACTATGTCTGGGGTAGCTCCACAAAAAGTCAGGACACTTTGAGGCTTGCTGCCACCTCCCAACTCCTGTAAGGTTAAGCCAATAATAAAGCCTCCTGCAGTACAGGAGTTAGGTGAGACAGGGTCCAGCCCGGTGTAGCCAGCAAAGGTGGGTGTGGGACCAGCCCGTTTTCTGTCTCTGCCCCTCCTACCAGTCGTGATGTGGCTTCTTCTTTATATCCTTAGTTATAAAACTTCTGTTCATCTAGACCTCAGATGGTTTTATAATTTAGTTGTAATTTCGATGTGTTCATGGGATGAGGCAAGCACAGTGTTTATCTTCTCTGCCATCTTGGCTCTTCAATACAACCGTGACCTCTTTCCCTCTACACTGGTGAGGCCCAAACTTTGGGGCTGGGTGTTCTGAGGAAACACCAACCTTAGTGGTCTATTTGCTGTTACCAGAGACCAAGGGGCAGGGATCACAGCTTAGGGGAATACATTAGGACAGCACCCTGGGAATGGTGGGAGATTAGAGTTAGGGGGCTGGGGGTTGCATTTTAGGTTGGAGAGGAAGAGGGATTTTGTTCAGCAAACATTATTTGAGCCCCTATCGACCAGATACTATGCTGGGACTAGAGATACTAGCTAAATACAGTCTTGATTTTGCCATCTTGGAGAGACTGAGAGAGAATGTTCAGTAGGAAACCAAGCCCACCCCTGTGAACTTATAGGAGCAGGTGTGTGTGTGTGTGTGTGTGTGTGTGTGTGTGTAGTGCCTACTGACATCTATGGGTTCATGGCCATACAAGAAACTAGGTCCACTATTGCCAGACATTCTGACTTTTGAGAGAAGTTGGAGGTTTCACTCTTGATTTATAATCTCCTGATTTTAAAATGTTGGCAATAATTTAAAAACAAAATTTTAAAAATCACCATGTCCTCCAAACAAAGCAGCCTTGCTAGCCGTGCCTGGCTGGCACACAACAGTTTTCAACCCCTAACCATGGGAGTTACCTACATGACTCTCCTGAGGACCCAGAGAGAGGGACTGAAGAGGGTAATTTTAATGGGATTTAGAGAATAATAACATAGAATAAATTTATTTAATTGCTGAATTTAGAAATATCTATTTTTATCTTTTTCTTTGTTGAAAGGGATGCATAAAAAAATCCACAGGTATGATAAGGAAACCAGGAAATGAAGAAAAGCTAGCTGGATTCTGGGGCCCTAACCACCTTAAGGAAGGTTGTAGTCCAACTCAGGCAAGACCTCAGAGAGCCTCCAATGAAGCCAGCCCTATGAAGAGCTTGGAAGACATGGCCATTGATCTCTCCAGTTCCACATGGCAGGAGACCAAGAAAGAACACCAGGGAACTGGCTTTCAAGGATGCTCAGATTCTGAAGGGCTGGAGGGGCTCCACCCTGGGAAGGTGGGAGCCTTATGAGGCCCACAGGTCCCACCCTTAAAGATTGGAAATGTGCACATTCCTCATTTTGGCTTTTTCAGAAGACAAAAGTTGTCCAGGACACATCATCTCATTTGGATTTTCTTCCTAGTGTCAGGATAAAATGAAATGCCATGTGCTTTAAGATGAACGAATGGGTGGGTAACTTACAGAAAACTCTGTTTTGTTCTAGAATGAAAACCACTCCTTAAAGGCACTTGAACTAGTTAATTTGGTGTAAAATTTTAATTTTCTTCTGTAGAACTTGAGGAGGGAAGATTTTAGTTCAAACAACATTTTCACTACTGGGCATCATTTGAGATTTGGTTCAATGTACAGTGTCAATTAATAGGTTAGGTCTGATGTCTTTACTCTGAATTCAAAAATATAAAAATATTTAATCTCGAAAAAATTAGATGTCTTCATAAATAGTGAAAACCCCATACAGACATATGAATGAATTATAATATCTTTATCTTGAACTTGGCTTTGGACATTTCAATTTTCTCATTAGGCAATAATTTTATATTCTCCTGAATGTCATTTAATAGGTATGTGTATTGGAACTCATAAAAACAAAGAAACCCATGCTTTCCCTTTCCTTTCCAAAATAACAAGGGACCATATTTAAACAATAGTTGATTATTTATAAACAGTGTTTAAGTTCAGAACAGGTTTCTTGGTCTTTTAAAATTTATGTTTTCTTTTAAGGGGGTGGGGGCTATAAATTCTTATTGATTGATTGATTGGTTTCAGGTGTACAAAACTATGCAATAGTTATACCTTTCACTCCTCACAAAGTGAAAACTCCCACCCCCACAATCTACTGCCTTCCCGACATCATACATATCTATTGTGATTCCATTGACTCCACTCCCCACACTATACTCCACATCCTATGACTATATATATATATGTATGTATATATATATATATATATATATATATATATATATATATATATAAAATTATAGTTGACATACAATATTATTCAACGTCAGCTGCTTCAGGTTTAGAGTGCAGTGATCAAGCCTCTACACCGTTCATGAGGTGGACTCCCTACAAAACATGTGACCATCTGACACCCTACAAAATCTTTACAACATTATTGATTATATTCTCCAAACTTTCATATCCCTGTAGCAATATTGTAGTTACCAATTTATGCTAATTCCTTCCCCTTATCCATCATCCCCACTCTGCTCCCATCTGGCAACCATCAGTTTTTCCCATATTTCTGAGACTATTTCTGTTTACTTTGCTCATTTATTCAATTCTTTAGATTCTACATATAAGTGAGATCATATGGTATTTGTCTTCCTCTGACTGACTTATTTCACTTAGCATAATATTCTAGAGGTCCATCCATATCATTGCAAATGGTAAGATTTCATTCTTCTTTATAGCTGAGTAATACTCCATTGTATAAATGTACTACAGTTTCTTATTCCAGTCATCTACCGATGGGCATTTTGGTTGTTTTCATGTCTTGGCTATTGTAAATAGTGCTGCAATAAACATAAGGGTGCATATATGTTTTCGAATTAGTGTCTTGGGTTTCTCTGGATAGATATACTTAAGAGTGGAATTGCTGGGTCATACGGTAGTTCCATATCCAGTTTTTTGAAATAGCTCCATACTGATTTCCATAGTGGCTGCACCAATCTGCAATCCCACCAACAGTGCACCAGGGTTCCCTTTTCTCCACAACCTCAACAGCGCTTGTTTGTTGATTTATTGATGATAGCCATTCTGACCAGAGTGAAGTGGTATCTCATTGTGGTTTTTATTTGCATTTCTCTAATCATTAGTGAGGCTGAACATTTTCTCATATGCCTGTTGGCCATCTGTATGTCCTCTTTAGAGAAATGTCGCTTCATATCCTCTGTCCATTTTTTAAGTGGGTTGTTTGTTTTTTTGGTGTTGAGTTGAATGAGTGTTTTATAAATTGTGGATATTAACCCCTTATTCTGATGGCTTATTATTGGTGTATACAAATGCAACTGATTTCTGAATATTAATTTTGTATCCTGATACTTTACTAAATTCATTTATAGTTTTTTGGGAGTCTTTGGAATTCTCTCTATACAGTGTCATGTCATCTGCATATAATGACAATTTTACCCCCTCCTTTCCAATTTGAATGCCTTTTATTTCATTTTCTTGTCTTATTGCTATGGTTAGAACTTCCAGAACTATGTTGAATAAAAGTGGAGAAAGTGGGTAGTCTTGTTTTGTTCTTGATCTTAAGAGGAAAGGTTTTAGCCTTCCCCTGTGGAGTAGGATGTTAGCTGTAGGCTTATCATATATGGCCTTTATTATGTTGAGATATGATCCCTCTAGTCCCACTTTGCTAAGAGTTTTTATCATAAATGGATGCTTAATTTTGTCAAATGCTTTTTCTGCATCAATTTATATGATCATATGATTTTTATTTTTCATTTTGTTAATGTGATTTATTATTTTAATTGATTTGCAGATATTGAACCAACCTTGCATACCAGGAATGAATCTCACTTGATTGTGGTGTATGATCTTCTTAATGTGTTGCTGAATTCAGTTTGCCAGTATTTTGTAGAGGATTTTTGCATCTGTGTTCAGTAGGGATATTGGATTGCAATTTTCTTTTTTTTGTAATATCTTTGTCTGATTTTGGGATCAGAGTAATAGTGGCTTCATAAAGTGTGCTTGGGAGCCTTCCCTCCTTCTGTATTTTTTTGGAATTGTTTGGGGAGACCAGGTGCTAATTTTTTTTTTGAATGTTTTGTAAAATTCACCTGTGAAGCCATCTTGTCCAGGAGTTTTTTTTTGTTGTTGGAAGCTTGTTGATGACTGATTCAATTTCTTCAGTAATTGAATTAATTACCGAATTAATCAGTCTGTTCAGAGTTTGTTTCTTCTTGATTCAGCCTTGGAAGATTTTATGCTTCTAGAAATTTATCCATTTCTTTCAGATTGTCTAATTTGTTGGCATATAGTTTCTCATAGTATATATTTTTTAATTTTCTGTATTTCTGTGGTATTTGTTGTTACTTCTCCTCTTTTGTTTCTGATTATATTAATTTGGGTCCTCTCTCTCTTTTTCTTAGAGAGTCTGGCTAAGGGTTTGTTGATTTTGTTTATCTTTTGAAAAAACCAGTGCTTGGTTTAATTGATCTTTTTTTTTTTGGTCTCTATTTCCTTTATTTCTGCTCTGAGCTTTATTATTTTCTTCCTTGTACTCCCTTTGGGCTTGATTTGCTGTTCTTTATCCAGTTCCCTTAGGTGTAAAGATAGTCTGTTGATTTGAGATTTTTCTTGTTTTTTTAGATAGGCCTGCATTGCTATGAAATTCCCTCTTAGGACTGATTTTACTGCATCCTATAAATTTTGATTGTTGTGTTTTCATTTTCGTTTGATTCAAGGTACCTTTTGATTTGTTCCTCGATCTCATTGTTGACCCACTCATTATTTAATAACATGTTATTCAACCTCCATGTATTAGTGTGCTTTCCGGACTTCTTCTTATAATTGATTTTTAGTCTCAAAGCATTGTGGTTGGAGAAGACACTTGATATGATTTCAATCTTCTTAAATTTATTGAGATGTGTTTTGTGGCCTAACATTAGGAAATGTTCCATGTGCACTTGAGAAGATTGTATATTCTGTTGTTTTGGGGTGAAATGCCCTAAAAATATCTATTGAATCCAACTGGTCTAAAGTGTCATTTAAGGCCACTGTTTCCGTGTTGATTTTCTGTCTGGAGGACCTGTTCATTGGTGACAATGAGATGTTGAAGTCCTCTACTACAGTAGTGTTACTGTTGATCTCCGACCTTATGTTGGTCATAAACTGTTTTCTACATTTCGGAGCGCCCATGTTCTGTGCATAGATGTTTAGTAGGGTTATGTCCTCTTGTTGGATTAATCCCTTTATTATTATGTAGTGCCCTTCTTTGTCTTTTATTGTAGTCTTCATTTTAAAGTCTATTTTGTCTGAAATAAGTATTGCTACTCCAGCTTTTCTGCCATTTCCATTTGCATGAAATATCTTATTCCTTCCTTTGATTTTCAGTCTGTATGTTTCTTTTGATCTGAGATGAGTCTATTGTAGAGAGCATATACATGGGTCCTGTTTTTTTAACCACTCTATATCTTTTGATAGGAGCATTTATCTCATTCACATTTAAAGTGTTTATTGATAGGTACATATTTATTACCATTTTGTTATTCATATTTCTGGTCTTCTTTGGTTAGTTTGTTTTCCCCTTTCTTCTGTTTAAAAAAGCCCTTTTAACATTTCCTGCAATGTTGGTTTGGTGGTAATGAATTCCTTTAGCTTATTCTTTTCTGAGAAGCTCTTTATCTCTCCTTCAATTTTAAGCTGGGTAGAGCAATCTTGGTTGTAGGCCTTTGTTTTTCATCGCTTTGACTATTTCCTGCCACTCCCTTCTGGCCTGCAGAGTTTCTATAGAAAAGTCAGCTATTAGTCTTATAGGAGTTCCTTTGTATGTAACCGACTGTCTTTCTCTTTCTGCTTTTAGGATTCTGTATTTGTCTTTAACCTTTGCCAGTTTAACTATGATGTGTCTTGGTATGGGCCTGTTTGGGTTCAGCTTGTTTGGAACTCTCTGTACTTCCTGGGCTTGTATGTCGATTTCTTTCACCAGAGTAGGGAAGTTTTCAATCATTATTTCTTCAAATGTTCTCAATCCCTTGCTCCTTCTTTTCTTTTTCTGGTTTTCCTATGATGTGAAGTTGTTGTGCTTGATGTTGTCCCACAGCTCTCTAAACTATTTTGATTGTTTTTTATTCTTTTTTCTTTTTGTTGTTCTGATTGGTTAATTTCTGCTATTTTGTCTTCTAAATTGCTGATCTCATCTTCTGCTTCATCTAATCTACTGGTGATTCCTTCAAGTGTGTTCTTCATTTCAGTTATTGTATTCTTTAGTTCTAACTGGTTGTTTTTTATTATTTCTCTGTCCTTCTTTATGTCCTCACTAAGTTCCTTAAACATTCTTATCATCAGTGTTATAAGCTCTGTCTCTGATAGGTTGGATACCTCTGTTTCATTTAGTTTCATTTCTTGAGGTTGCTTCTGATCTTTTATTTGGGATATGTTTCTTTGTTTCCTCATTTTGGCTGTTGCTCTGTGATTGCTT